CGCTGTAGAACATACAGTTGTTGGCACATGTGTTAGGGTTGGTGTCCCACACAGTCGGGCCACATGAGCAGAGTGGAGGAACCCTGATGTTCTGCTGTTCTACCTTCTCACACAGTCTCGCTCTCAGGGCTTCCACGTATCTGGGGGGGGAGTCAAATGTTTTGTTATTTAAAATCTTGTGATGACTAGTTTAAAGAGAGTAAGCCCACACTGCGAGTACATAGATTCCAGGGGGCAAACTATTGTTTGGGTGAACCACTAGGTCCTACCATCTAGTACTAGCTAACAAGACCTTGTATACAACAGTATTTTTTGTAAGGGTGACCATGAAATTCTAGGTTATATATCCACATCAATCTAGGGTGCACCCTAGTCCCCTTTTTGAGACGTGTTTTGGCTACTGTTCTCAAACATGAGACCAACTATTTGCAACATAACATCCCATCTAAAAGACTGCAACTACATGTACAAGTGGTAAGTACCGACATTCAGTCAGGGATTTCCACAGTACATTTTCCCACCCACCTGTCCAGCTCCTTATGTCTCTGCTCCCTCCTGCTGTCCTCTAGTGATGAGGTGCTCCTGTCAGGACTGCCCCGCTGGGTTGTGTCTGATGATGCCTGTTCCTGGGCCAGGGTCACAGCCAGGATGGCCTCCTCCTCACGACGGGCACACTCTGTCTTCTGTTTGATTCTAGCAACAACAACAAACATTCAAACTTTTTTATCTATGTTTTTTCACTGTCAAACATTTGTCCTTTGGTTGGTTCTTTGTCCTCATGGGATTTATAATCTATCCCTTTCATAGGACTGCAACCTTTACTAGTAGTGTATACCAGGATTGGAACCTTTGACATCATGATTTAGAAGCAGGACTGGTATTGATTACACCACGGCACATTGCTAATTCTGACATGTGTGTTGTGACAACATGAAGTGGTTGGTACAGAAGGTCTAACCTGTTGATCCTCCTCCTGTGCTGCTCCTGCTGCGCCCGTTCCTTCACCTGGTGACGCTCAATGTCCATAAACAGACGTCGGGACAGCCAGTACCTACTCTGCTTCTGTGGGGGAAAAAAGAACAATCAATGGTACATAACATACACATACATGTAATTGTACGCTGTGATTTTTTTCTACTCCTCTTCTACTACTCCTTTTCAT